TTTAATAGTTCCACTTAATTTCCCTTTATGTTCTTTTTTATTAATAATGCCAGGGCAAATAAGGATTTAGCATAAATAAAAGGATGACTTTTACAGAAAAATAATGTATATTGATATAAAAAGCATGTACATTAAAAAAAATATGATAATCCATTGAAGTCACTTTTTACCTTAAACCTTCAAATAAATAAATACAAAAGATTAGTTATTTACGTCAAGTTTCGATGATAAAAGCGTGAAGGCTTTAATTTTTTTCTGAAATAATTCACGTGTTACATTTAGATTTGCCTACAAAAAATATTTTCGAATTATATTTACATTTTTATATTTCACACTGATTCAAAATACCTGTAGTATATGTAAGCCGTTCATACTAATGATAATTAATTCCCTTATACCATCCCCAGTTATGTCAGTATGTTTTATGTTAAAAATTGGTGATGGAAATTGTTTTATGTTTTCTAAAATCCAACCATTACTGGAAATTTTTTTGTATACCAAAACTTCCTAAAATATATACATTTTTTTATATAATTACTTCCCTTTTAAAAGAAGAGTTTTACCTGTGTACTGGTACCAAACAGAATTTCTTTATTTCCATCGAAATCAATGTCGGCCACTTCTGAACACGTTATAACCCCCGTTGTTTCAAATTTAGGAAGGGTGGTATATTTTTTAAGGCCATAATTCAAAACATCCCTATTAAAAAGAACTTAGTACAGTCACATATGTTTAAAGGAAAAAATAAGTAGTTTACTTGAAAATAACGGACGGTAACAAGGTATTTGTTACTAGAACATTTAAAACTAAATTATTAGGAGGTTCATTCTGCACAAAGCTGAATATCTTGGAGATTTTTGGATCATCACTTACACTGTCGTTTTCAGTAAATATTCTAACATTAGAAATGATATTATCTAATTGAGTTGAGAACCTGAAAATTACTTCTTTTTTATCTACCGAGACCTTACAAATTCGAAAATATCCACATTCGCAGCCAAACGCCGTAAGTCTTCTAAAGAAAAGTTGAGTACAATAAGATCAACAATCAACGAAATAATGAACTTATAATTACTCTTTATCATTTTCATAATAAAAAACGTCTATCCATGTAACTACAGATGGTAATTTAGAGAATTCTGGAAAATAATCATTAGAATCAATCTCTTTGTATGTATGTTTGGTTTGATTCTCTCGGTAAACGTGAATCTGAATATCGCTACCAGAAAGTAAAAATACCACCTAAAAATGTAAAACAAAGAGTAAAAACAATAATTACATGTTATATATATTGTTACCTCCTTTTTGTAGGTAGCGGCATTACTGTTGCTTATTAGGTACGTGTGTGTCAGATGATAGGGCACAAACTTTAACTCTATATTCAAACAGTTTTGAGATATACTTTCAATGTTCAAATCGGCACTTTCTTCCCATTCTGAATAAATGTTTAAGTAGTATGTCTCTGTAGAATTCAAATCAAAACCTTTCTAAAATATAAATTAAAATGAAGAAAAGACACTTAAAGTTCTAAACAAAACCAAAGCAACGCTCTAAATTATAATTTAAAGAACAGAAAACTATTTCAGAAATGCATGTCATAAAGCTATACCTTTATTATGGTAATTCCAAAAACAAAATCGTTGCCATTTTCTGACTTGTTAAATGCATCTAAGGAGATAATTTCAGCACCACCTAAACAACAGAAACACTTCCACATAAAATTATTAAAATAAGGTATTAGTGACTTCTTACTTGGAATGTATGTAAAAGAAATGTGTTTGGTAGTTGAATACAAATTTCCAGATGAGTTTTCTTGATATTCAAAGCAAATAACTTCTCTCTTCAACGCAGCTAACAATAATTTGTTAAATCCATTAGCCAATTTTATACATGAAGAGGTGTAAATATTTCCTTGTGAGGAAAGAGGTACAAAATGGCAATCTTTATAGTAATTCATTAAAATAATTAAAGGGTAAATATATAAAATAATTTTTTTATTAACTGCCTTGAGAGGTTATGTTCTTTCGCACTTTTTCTTTGTTTGCATTTACGGCACCATTATCAATGAAAAATATTTCCAGCACTTATGTTTTTACTATCTAATTAATAAATATACATTTTTAAACATATAAAACTACCAAATATTAGGTAAATGTGAACACAATAAGTTAGGTTACTAGTATTACCAAAATACAAACAACAGCGAAATCACGTAGTGTTTATGGATAATGATGGTGAATATATCTTACCTATTAATTAAAAAATAAAATTAAAGACACATATTTTATAAATCAATGTAGAAGCATATCGTGCTGAAAGCTTTTTAGTTCAATGTAGAATCCACATGTTTTTCATAATTATTTTATAATTAATGTCTTTGGTACCTTAGATAGTTCCATGTTTTTTAATTGTACAATGACGTATAACATGTTGCTGGAGTACGGGTTGTGTTTCCAATTTTGTTGTTATATATCGGACTGTTTTGACAATCTACTCATTTAATTGACGGTTATTGAACAGTTTAGTGTTTTCGTGAAATGGTTACAAATATTTTTAATAAACGCGATAAATATCAAAACCAAATTAACTGTGCAACGAATGCTAATTACAAATATAATTCATGTGTAAATGTATAGTCCGTGGTGATCGTGTATCAACGAAGTGGTATTCTTTAAAAAGGAAAATGCACTGTTGTGTTTTATAAATACATTACAAAGCGCTAAAAAAGTAAAGATTAATTACTGTTGTGATAATTTCAAACTCTACCCGGTTATGACATTTACAACAATGCTAATTTCAGTAGCAGAATTTTCTAACATCTTTTCAGTCTTGGCTGTCCTTCTCTGTTTTTGTGCCATGATACTATTTATTACAAGGTAAATATTCTTATTTCCTATAAGGCAGCTAAGATTCTGTATATAAATATTTTAAAATTGGATTTTGTTGTCCTAGAAACATGATGGTTTTACGAGTACATGGTGAGGACTTAGTTTTTCCAAACTCTTTACATCAAGTTACCCCAAGAATACCACAAATGAACATGATGAAAGTTCATATACCTTATACTTTTAAATTAATTGAAACTTCTAAGTCTTCATATTCTGGTAAGCTCCATATAAAAAGATTAT